CTTTTTAAAACATGTTAGATACATCTTTATGATCTATACAACTGGTTAATATGATAAAATAATGAAAAACATCAATAAATCTTTATTTATTTTTTTAATTTGAAAGATCACTGATAAAAATACTTTTTATTTTTAATTAAAATAAATTTTATTAATAAACTTTTTTAAATATAAGTATTTTTTTGTATGTTTGTTTCATTTTATAGATTCAAGTACTTTTTTTGTTCAAAAAAAGTTTAGAAACTTGATCGTTCAAAATATGAAAGTTCATTGGGTTTTTTTTTTTTCAGACTTTTTTCATTATTTTATCACATTAACCAATTTTATAGGTCATAAGAATATATCTAACAGGTCTTAGAAAGTCCAAAGAGTTATTTAATAGGTTTTGAAATGTCTAATGACTTTTTTGTTCCAAAAAATTGTCTAAGAACTTAATCATTCCAAACACTAAAGTCTATTGGGTTTATTTAGACTTTTCTCATTTATTAATTATATTATATTCATCATTTAATGAAATATAATAAATGACGAATGATCGTATGAGAAGCAAAGTTAGAGTAAGAAACGTAAGAAGAGATTTGGACCCTTGATCACTTTTAATCTTTGCCCACCCATGAATTGTGTTTCTCATTGGAATTGATTCGGTGCATCTGGATGCATTTCATCCTAACGCACATCCAATAGTGAAGATATCTTCTTACATTTCTCACCTTAACTCACTTTATCACCGAAACTCAACCCTATAATAAATAAAAAGGAAAAAAAAATTTAAATTCACAACTGGTTAACCCAACCAGTTATAGTAAACCAGTCAAGATAGGTTATGGTTTTGTGACTTATAACTGTGACCATGACCAACGTAACTGGTTACACTATGCAAGATGTATAACGGTAGTAACCAGTTGACGGCCCGACCAGTCAACCAAAACACCCACCTCAACACCAGATTGTCAAGGTGAAGGATCATGTGAGACAATGAGTTAGGATGAGAAACGGAACAAGAAATTTGGACCCTTGATCACCTTTAATCTCAAATCCATCCAAGAATCGGACTTGATATGGGGATTGATCCAGTGCATCTCATCCCAACGTGCATCCAAAAATGGACATCCTTTCTTACACTTAAGTCTCCTTCTCACCAGAATCCAACCCAATCATGAAACGACACTACGTCAGCGCACATTTTTTTTTAAAATCTGACATCATCATCCTCCTAAATAACTTGTGTTAAGTTCCTCAAAAAAAAAAGGAAGAAGCAAAACGGAAACAAAATCCATCGTGTATGCATCAACAGAACAAATAAAAAGGGTTTCAGGTCTACAAACAAAACTGTCTGTCTAAAAGGAGTATAATATCTAAAACAAGAACCCAAGCCCAATAATGCTTAAAAGCCGAACAACCCTAGTTCACTCGCTTTCTCCTTCTCAAAAGTCTCAAAGTATTGATATATGATTGTAACCGCAAGCAATATTCCAGTCCCGGAACCAATGGCTCCCATGAAATCTGCTAAGACCGTCAACGCACCAATACACATTCCTCCAAACGCAGCCGCTGTTGGGATGTACCGATTAAGTTCCTTCTGAAGGTTCGAGTCTCGATGACCAGGCATCACCATTTGTTGCTCCTGTATGCCATTCCAAACTGATTAATAACACAACTATATTTACTCATTTCATTTCAAACCCAATGAGTTGAGGCCCCACACAGAGTAAGGTCTGGTAAAATTGAGATTTATGCAAACCTTTTACCTCTGGAGATGGACTCAGAAAGTACTCCCACAACAAATAAGTCCAACAATGTCTACTTTGAGTTGTCACAGAAAATGCAACATTTCCTTCTTTTTAGCAAGGTTCCAATCCAATCCAAGTCATCTATTTATCTATATTTAGCAATCAATACAAGATATCCCTAATGTTTTTTTGGTCCAGAAGTTATCTAAATTTAAGAGGCATTTAAGCATTTGATTGTTTTAATCATTGGCTCTCGTTAAACCATGTGTTAAAAACGTTGCATCATTTTCTGAAAAGATAAAAGTATTTTGTATGTCTACTACATGAATATTAAGTAGAGCATGCACAGTTGACAGATAACGTATTTACTAACAAAAAGAAGCTCATATTTTAAGAGCCAAAAAGAAAGGGTCCTACAACCACTTGCACATTTACCTGACCAGTACAAGCCAACTGTTTATAGTCTATAGACACCAAAATTAGTGCAAGATATATGGATAATACACTAGCCACAACAATCAAGTAGAGTAGTGAATAGTCAAGGGAATTAAAATCAAGTTGTAACAAGTTGATTAGCCACTATGTGAAGGTTAACCTATTAGGAACAAGTTGATGCTTTCTAACCCATATCCTCCAAGTAACAAAGATAAAACATATATTAGTGCGATAGGGTTGACCACACAATTCACAATCTAAACCTCATCCAACCTAAATGGCCTCTAGCCATACTCTTATGCAAAAGCATCAATAGAAACCAGAAATCATGTTAAGAGAAACAAAATCGCATGAAGCTTAATGATGATCTCAATTGAGCAATACCTTAAGTTGCTTGGCAACATCTCTGGCAGATGATCCAGAAACTTCAATCCAGGTTTTTGAAAATAGTGCACAAGCTGTTAGCATGAACACCAAGTAGAAAAGAGCATGGAATGGATTGGCTGCCATATCCGCCAAGCTGATGCAACAATCAAGATAAAAGAAAGCATTAGTTAAGGCACCCAAAACTAATAAAAGTTTGTTACTCTGAAATCACAGTATGAAAGAACAGCAAGAGGCATATAAATAGCTAATCAATGGAAAGCGAAAGGGGTATTTTACCTTGAAGGTGCAGTCACGTAGTAAGCAATGCCACCAACTGGGACAGATTGGCCTGAGTATTCAGACTCCTTCCACTTTCCCAATAGATCAACCAAGAAATTCCCACTATACTTTCTGTGGAGCAACTGTACAGAAGGGAGAATAATATAAGCAATTTGACAAGTAGTACAGATACTAGACCTCTGCTGATTCAGATGTAATATGGATACCTGAGAGATGAAATAAAGGTTGGATACAAGTGCAGACTGAAGAATGATGGGCATGTTGGAAGTGTAGAACAGCTTAATGGGATATGACCCTTGTTGCCCACGAGCATTCTTTGATCTCACAGGCAAAACAACACGGAAGCCTTGGAAGTAGATAACAATAAGGAAGATCAAAACAGTAGCCAGCAGATTCGTGACATTAGGAAGATTTTGCCGGTAGAAAGCTTCCCGCAACGCCCGGACTTTGTCTGATCTAGTAATCAAAAGATGGAACAAGGCAATGACTGCACCCTCAAATTCAGCACCACGTCCACTGTTAATAGTGGTAGGGCTAAATGCTTTCCAGATGATGCTTTCACTGCATGATTAATCAAGATGCAAGTTAAGAAATTTCAGGAGAGAGTAACCAAAATATGTTTTGTTGAGGCAGGTACTTGGCATACCAGATATTAGTGGCTATGAACAACGAAATTCCAGATCCAAGGCCATATCCCTTTTGGAGAAGTTCATCTAGACATATGACAATGATCCCAGCAAAACATAGCTGAACAATTATCAAAATAGCATTCCCAACACCCAGTTGACCAACACTGCCATACATTCCTGACAGAACATACGCGACAGCCTCACCAACAGCAATCAAGATTCCGAGCAACTTCTGAGCACCATTCCTAGAAAAATCACAAGTACGAGTTGAAAAGTATGAGAAAGGATAAAAATAAAAGGCTGCATTATCAGTTACTACCAGGAACTTGCATAGGGAGATAGAATACTAGAAAGTATAACAAATTATAATACTTTGTTCAACTCCTTTAGTAAATAGTCAAATGGCAGCTAATGAATATTATTAAACTCACAATAGAGCACGGTCCTCACGAACGTTGTTGTCCACTTCGATAATTTTTGACCCAGCCAATAACTGCATAACCAGTCCAGAAGTCACAATGGGAGTAATACCAAGCTCCATGACAGTCCCACGGTTCGAAGCCAGAATAACACGCATCCAGTAAAAAGGGTCTGCACCCGTTGTCGAATGTATGCCATACAGGGGAAGCTGACTGCACACCAGAAAGATGAAAAGAGAGATCACAGTGTATATGACTTTCTCTCTGAAGGGAACCTTCCTATCTGCACTCTGCACTTCTGGCAAAAACGCAAGAAATGGTCTGACCAGATGTAACACTCTAAAACCGCCTCCCATAGTAACAAGTCAGAACCACCCAACCTGCTGTTTGTGTAAATGCAATCATCAGCATCATATAGTATTAAGCAAACCAAATATATGATACATCAGTTACCACATAGAACTTGCATCAAATTACCAATCACAAAATAGGATTTCCAAAATGTGCATCATGAAAAAACAAATACAGCCAAAAATACGCAAACAATCATAATATATCAATATTGGAGACAATTTATAAATATAATGCAAATTTCAACGAGATACAGAACTACACTCTTGTAATCTCAAACTGATACAGCATACACACTGAGTGCTTAGAAGATACCCATCCTTGCGAAAGGACCAAATGAGTAATTCAAGCAAGTAAGCACGGTATTCGTAGAGGATTCTTTTAGTTGAGACAATATTCTAACAGAATTAAACAATCTATACAAGTAAGATGACGCATCCTTGCACTACTTGCTAAGACTTTTCAGACATCTGTATTATAGAGCTTTGTCTTCAATTTTAACGCCTAAAATTTTCAATAATAGTAAAATACTTTCTTTCCAATTAGTTCACATCACCATCAATAGCAAAATAGAAATTTCAATTCATTCACTTTCATGTCCTCCCAAGTTCACATGCTATGAACACGTAAACCATTGGCAAATACGATACCAGACAGATGACAACTAGGAAGCGGAAATCAGTTGTTTAAGCGCCGTTGACCAACCGATCCAAATCATACACCCATCTTAACAGATCTAAAGCTAATCAAAACATAAAAACCGACGTAACAACATCAAAACACACCAATCCATCACTACGTAAGAAATCAGTACAGATCGAGTCATGTAACAGCCGATTTGAAACATTTTATTCCATTTTTGAGAAGAAATAAACGATCCAAGATGAGAATTGTGCGTAAAAGTAGACATAAGCAGATTCACAATGTAGATCGAGGACTTACAAAGCTTGAATTAATGGAGATTTGATCAAATGGGATGAGAGAGAGCCCTAGGGTTTTATATCGGAGAGGAGGAGGATGGTTATCATGAACGGAAAGATAACGCGTAAACGTCGCTGGTGAGCAAAAATCTTTTGCAACGCTACGGAACATATCAAAGAAAATATTACACAAAGCACCCTTCATCTTCAACATAAATTTCAAAAGAAACCCTATAACTCTTGGTTGCTAACAATGAGTCCTTGTTTATGTTTTGACTCAACATTTATTTACGTGTGCATTTAAAGAGACTAGCATTATGCCCGTACATTATAGTGGGATATAAATTTTTATTGTAAATCAAGGATGAAAAATTAATGCAATTTCCTATTTGAAAAAAAAATATATGAAATTTATAGAGTATTCTACTGTATAAGTAGGTCTCAATGTTAATCTTATATTTGAACATGTTTATCAGTTGTTTAGTAATTTAGCTTTAGAAAGTTCAAATGCAGCTATATATATGTACAATAATAAATTTTAAACTTGAATTTAATATATTTTAAAAACAAGGGTAATGTTCGCAATATAATAAAGATTATTTTGAATCCAAGTTGCGATAACAAGTTTCAGACGTTCAACAAAAATGTTATTATGATTTTAATTTTTTGATTGTTTATGATCAAAATAAGTAAACTCAGATACACGTAATAAATTGCTTGTAATAGTTTTTCATTACTCTCACAAATGTGTACCATCTACGATGAAAAAATGTATACCCTGCAGCACAAAGAGTATTTTACATTTATTTTAGTACCCATAATTACCATAAACACATAAGGACTACTTCCCCTTTTTCTTCGTTCTTTAAGAACCTTTCGTATGCGCCTATTGGAAGAGTTAGGCTACCTCCTCTATTTTCGATCTCATTCAGATAATAAGCCAGTTTGGTTTATTAGATAGTGAGTGGGAGGCCGGGCCCCGCCCATCCGGAAGTGCACACCCATTTTAGAATATATACAAAGGGCTAAAGAGAAAAAGTCCATGAAGAACTACCAAATCCAATGACTTCCATTTGTTCGTACAATTCTGTCACCGATCACTACTGGGTTGGTTGGTGAGTCACCCAATACCAAGGATGGAAACAACACGAGTAATGCACCTGGTAGTCCCTATTGATGCCCCATGTCCCTATCTAATCCTTGACGGCTCTAGGAAAAGAAATTGTTGTTTGGTGCGGAAAACCCATTAGATACTCGTTTAATAAAAAAGTAATAACAATGTATACTTACTATACAGTGAGGTCAGGTTATGGGAGGATAATATCATCCATGATCCCTTCTAAAACCTACTTTAGGTATGGAAACCAACAATTGTTCCTTCCCCTTTACTCAACAATTCCGACCTATTAGCTGGTGGGTATCCACGTTTACCCGGGAGTCAATTTCCGTCTCTACTCAATACCATGTATTTGGGTTAACTTTGAATATTTGGATTAAAAAGTTGTAAATTTGTGAACTATTAGAAACTTTAAGTACTTGTGGGGCAATATTAACTTAACTTGAAGGGCGCTTTATATAAATTCTAAAATCAAAAAAGTCAAGAAATTGGTTCGGATGACACGAGTTTCTACCCAATAATGTTCTGCCACGTTGGAATGTTCTCCACGTGGGATATTTGTTGGGCCGGCTTGAATCCGAATGTATCGTTAATTATGAAAAAGAAAAGAAAATTGTTTTTTTTATTTTTTATTTGGATACAAAATTATTTTTTTTATATTATAATTTTTAATAATCATAGGAATTTCATCATCTTCATTATAATTTTAATTAAGTTTTTTCTGAAAGAATAATATTAATAGTTAACTATTTACGACAAAATTCAAACGAAAAAAATAGTTGAAGTAATAAATAAATCATTTATTTAAATATATATAATATTAAAAACAAATATATATATATATAATGATTTTTTTATATATGTTGCATACAAATTGTATTCGGATCCAAATTAAGAGCTCGTGGTATGCTTTTAAATGCGCATGTTGTAATGGGGTAGATTTGGACCATCTGTTGTGTCGGGCTGTTGAGTGGTTTCGATGGAAATGACATTATTAAGTATGTTATAGGCTCGATCATCTAAGGTTCTCAACTTCTTTGGTAGCCTAATTGTTTTGAAGATTAAAAAAAGGCAGATATTGTTGGTCTCAACCATCGGATTTATAAATGATACCACTAACATCTAATTCAACATTTAGAAAGAAAATTCTTATCATTTATCTTGTAACATTCTTATCCGATAACAAAATCATCAAATATGACTGAAAGGGATTAACATCCGAACCTAGGGAATGGGTGAACGTTTGACGAATAAGTCACACAACAAGTGGCATGACCCTATAATGGGTGCCAAGACAGGTTCAGGTCGAACAACATATGAAATGCAGTGACAACATGATCCATACCCGACCAGACAGTTTATGAGATGTCTTTTCTTCAGTGTTGCATGTTTCCAGAAAATGCATATTATTTGGTATATAGTTTACAAGTTTGATATATATGATGTAAAATGATTTTATTAGTGAGGTTTATAAGTTGACTATAGTATGCATCTCAAAGACAGAAGGTTTCAAGTTGGACAAAAGAAAATGGCATGCATAGAGACTTGTCATGTCCATTTAAGTTCAATATTTATGTTCAGCCATCCATGATGAATAACTTTTGTAATGCGACCCGATATCGGAAGGGTTAGCATTTAAGTTACATCTTTATTTTTTAAAAGTCTTTTGTTGTAAACAGTTTTAATTTAACGTAATTTTGGAGTATCTATAAAAAAAAGTTATTAATGATAACGTGTTCATTTCTCATGGAAAAATGAGGGTGTTACATAAACCCTTCACATTTAGCGCCATCACTCCCTCTCGCTGCCCCTCGTTGCTCTAGCGTCATTCGTCCTCTATCACTGCCCCACCCATCCTTGCCATTGCCCCTGCCATCGATCTCCTTTTTTTTTTAATCATTTTTTTTTGTTTTTCAATTCTTCCTCTTTTTTGATCTATCTATATGTACTCCATTAAACTGTTGTAAAAGAGAGAAAATTGAAAGGCAAAAACAAAAACAGATCAAGAAAAAGGGAGACCGATAGTAGGGGTCAATTGCAGCGATGGACGGTATGGAGAACGAACGACAATGAGATGGTGACAAGCAACAAAGGGAAGCGATGTCGTTCGGTTCAAGGGTTTGAATGTCGTAAGCTTTGGTAACAATAAAACTGATTTAAAAAATATGTAGGTAATCAACTTCTAAAACTTCGATGATTTATTAATATATTAACTTAAAAGAATGTACGGAGACCTGATCATTCAAAATGAGAAAATTCAATAATTTATTCATCCAAAAAAAAATATTTAGGGACATAATCAATCAAAATGTAAAATTATCATTTAATTAATTAAAAAATTTAATAATTAAACATTTTTTATGGTGAACATTTATTTTGACACACCAAGAGAGCAAGGACTCTGAATTTGATATGTTTCTATGAACAAATTAAAGCCCAATAAACTCAATTAAAGATTAATAGAATCCATTAAAGACCAATAAACTCAATTAAAATCTAATAAAACCAGCTATATTCCAATAAAACTATTAAAGCCCAATAAAACTATTAAAGCCCAATAAACCCGATTAATAGCCCAATAAAACTATTAAAGCCCAATAAACCCGATTAAAAGCCCAATAAAACCGATTAAATCCCAATAAAACCGATTCACCAATTATGACTTATTACATATTAAAGCCCAATAAAATCGATTACAGCACAATAAAACTCATTAAGTCTATTAAGAACCACTATAGCTCAATAAAACCCTTTATCACTTATTAAAACCTAATAACACCAATGGTGTCATTTTGTATGCATGTATGTGTTGCAATACGTATGTGTGTTGGGCTCGATAAGACCATTAACTCCCACTAAAGCTTATTAAGAACTATTATAGCTCAATAAAACCCTTTATAACATATTAAATCCCAATAACACCAATGGTGACGTACTACGTGTTTAAATCCAGGTATCTATTGTATATATATCTATATACCTAATAAATAAGTAACTTTGGGGACATGTGTCATGTTTTTGTGCGACGATTATTGATTTTTTCGGCTTAAACATGTATCTAGACACAATTTTCATTTACGGCTCCCAGACTTACAACATAACTTTGGAAAAATTCATGTTTGAATTTAACTCTGGAGTGGTCATCAAAACCGGGTTAAAATTTCAAATTCGGATTTTTGAAGCATTTTTCACAAAGCAATATTACTCGGGAAAAAAATTTAGAAAACAATGTACTCTTAGTACTTAATTAATTAATAATAATGTGAATATAATTAATTTATATAGTTATTAAAAGAATATTAATACCTTATTAATTAATAATAATATAAAGTTAATTAATTTATAACATCTATATACCTAATAANGTAAGTAACTTTGAGGACACGTGTTCTTAATTAATTAATTAATTAATAATGTGAATTTAATTAATTTATATAATTACTAAAAGAATATTAATACTTATTAATTAATAATAATATAAAGTTAATTAATTTATAACATCCACATCTATATACCTAATAAATAAGTAACTTTGGGGACACGTGTCATGTTTCTGCGCGATGGTTATTGATTTTTTCTCGCCTAAACATGTATCTAGACACAATTTTCACTTATGGCCCCCAGACTTACAACATAACTATGAAAAAATTCACGTCTGGATTTAACTCTGGAGTGGTCATCAAAACCGGGTTTAAAATTTAAAATTCGGATTTTTGAAGCATTTTTCACAAAGCAATATTACCCGGGAAAACTTGACTCCAGCCAGGGGCTGCCGCCCCTTGGACCCCGCCACCGGGGGCGCTGCCCCCGGACCCCTTTTGTTAGGGGCTTCGTCCCTAAATCAAAATAAACTCAAACAAGTGTGCACTCCGCACATGCCTTACCTGTTCAATATTTATCATGATTACATTGGTCAACAATTTAATCCCATTACATTTAAATGACATTAGTGATATAAATCATCAACATTAAGTCATCAGATATTGGTTATTTCTCAGACTTACAATATAACTCTGAATTGTTCTGTTCCAAACTTAGTTATATAGTTTATTCCCAGACTTAGAATACAACTCTAAACTTCTCTTCAGAGTTACGTTTCTGAGTTATAAGAAGTCAAAATTCTTGTGACTCAGAGTTATGCTCGTAGATATTTTCTAGACTTAGAAGACAACTATGAATTCTTCTTATTCAGAGTTAAGTCCAGAGTTATTTTCCAGCCTAACAATAGAATTCCGAATTCTTGTGTTCCAGAGTTAATGTTCAGAGTTTTCTTTCAGAGTTAATGTCCAGAGTTTTTCTCATTTAATAAGAGCCAAGGACAATCATTATCAAAAGTTGGTTTATTTCTAAGACAACCGGTCTTCACACATGGTCAGTTATATGTTGCTTTATCCAGAGTCAAAAACAAGCAAGGTTTGAAAGTACTAATTATGGATGATGATGGTATTATTGACAGTAAAACAACGAATGTTGTATACAAAGAAGTATTTAGTAATATATGATACATGGTTATTATTTTATTAATGTTTTACATATTTACCTTATATTTGTTCAGTTTATATTGTGTTATAAGTATTGTTTTACAACTTCATCTTATTAAATCATATTATTATTAATTCTTAAGAGGCTCATTTTTCATTTATGTTCTGCATCATAATTATTCGACCATAGAGGATCTGCATGTGCTACGCAAATTATCTCACCCGGACTTCGTGCTTCATACAGAGCTTTAGAGAGGGACTGCATGTACTATGCAAAGTCTCTGACCAAACTTCCGTAATTCATACAGAGCTTTAGAGAGGTACTGCAGAAACCACGCAACACCTCTATGCCTGATTTCGTGCTTCATGTAGAGTTGCACAGCAACTCTGCATCTACAATGCAGAGCCTCTGTCCACGGAAAATTTATACAAACTTGTAGCATTGGCTAATTTTAGCAATTAACTCTTGAAAAGAACTTCACACTTGTAGTCAGATTGGTCGTCTTGATTAAGAAGTCTTGCAACGCTAGATATTGTCTGTCGTGAACTCTGGAGGATTTCTTAGCCCTTGTGTTTGTCAAGCCTGATTTCGTCCTTCATACAGAGCTTAACAGAGGTTATGCACGTGCTATGTGGTCAATCGGAACCAGACTC